AAAAAAAAAAAAAAAGAACAAATCTGGAAGCATCACACAGACTTCAAAATATACTACAAAGCCATAGGAACCAAACTAGCATGTTACTGACATAAGGGGTCTGGCCACTGCACTCCAGCCTGGGCGACAGAGCGAGACTCCGTCCAAAAAAAAAAAAAAAAAAAAAAATTCTTGCTTTAATTTTCTAAATTAAAAGTATCCAACAGACGGCCCATTGACAAGAACTTAAAGTTCACTGGATCAAAGATGCGGCTTTTCCTCCTCATTATCCTAATAAGCTGCCAGTCCATCAGCGTCACTTATAAAGCTTTTTTAAAAGATAGACTTTTATTTGCTTATTTTTCTATGTAACTGTCACTGAAACCCAAATGTTCCAACAGAGTTCTCCACCCACATGGATAGGATCTTCCAAATGGCGGAGCTCATCGGCACCATGAGCTCTGTGAGGTCCTCTCAAGTCCTGAGCCCTAGCTGCAGTCAGGACCGACCATGCTCTACACCTGGTATTCAGCAACTATCCTGGGATCATCCTTCACCATCACCCTTTGTCTGCAAACTCATGTGGTCATCTTTCTCGGGTTACTTCTTTGTTTTGGTAGAGAACATATTTTAATATCTTCTTGACAAAGGGTAGAAGGGAAGTACATTTTTTTAAGACTGTGTGTGTCTGCAAATGTCTTCATTCTACCCTCATACTCCATCCACAGTTTGAGTATGGACCTCTGGTTCCAAAGAACTTTCCATCAGAATAATAATAATAATAATAATTTGGAGATAAGAGTCTCATTCTGTGCCCAGGCTTGTGTGCAGTGGCACGATCTTGGCTCACTGCAACCTCTGCGTCCCAGGTTCAAGAGATTCTCATGTCTCAGCCTCCCAAGCGACTGGGACTACAGGCAAGCACCACACCACGCTAATTTTTTGTATTTTAGTAGAGACAGGATTTCACCATGTTGCCCAGGCTGGTCTCGAACTCCTGAGCTCAGGCAATCAGCGCCTCTGCCTCCCAAAGTGCTAGGATTAAAGGCATGAGCCACCGCGCCCGACCTCATCAGAATTTTGACATCAGTGCTCATCTGGTGCATTGTGGAGACATCTGAAGCCATTCTGATTCCTGGTCCAGTGTGTAGGACCAGTTTCATCTCTCTTGAAGCCTTCATAATCTTTACATTCCCTTAACTTAGATGCTTCAGAAGAACATTGCTAATCTCTTTCTTCAGCAGGTGTTCTGGGCCTATGATGGGTAGGACCTCCTAATCTGGAAATTCTTGTCCATTAGTTCCAGAAAATGTTCCTATGTTAATCTTCAGAAAATTTCCTACCATCTTCCTTCATTCTTCCTAGAAATCCCATTTTCAGATACTGGACCTCAAACTGACCCTCAAAAATTTTTCCTCCTATTTCCATTTGTTTGCCTTTTTTCTCTACTTTCTGATAGTTAGCTTCTCCTTTATATCTCAAACATACTAGTGATTTTTACATTTTTCTATATTTTGAATTTCCAAGAACCTTTTTCTCTGCCTGTTCCTTTTTAAAATATCCTATTTTAAATATCCCCAGAGAGAAGACATTGCATCCCTTTAACAGTAAGCTGTTATGGATGCAACATCTTCTCTGTGGGGATATTTATTCTCTAACATTTTCTGTTACTCAACTGCATTGTTTGTTTCCTTGAGGGTTTGTTTTGGTCTTTTTTTTTTTTTTTTGGAGACAGAGTCTCGCTCTGTTGCCCAGGCTGGAGTTCAGTGGTACAATCTTGGCGCACTGCAACCTCCGCCTCCTGGGTTCCAGCGATTCTCCTGCCTCAGCCTCCCAAGTAGCTGGGACTACAGGCATGTACTACCACGCCTGGCTAATTTTTGCATTTTTAGTAGAGACGGGGTTTCACCATGTTGGCCAGGCTGGTCTCAAACTCCTGACCTTAGATGATCTGCCTGCCTTGGCCTCCCAAAGTGCTGGGATTACAGGTGTGAGCCAGTGCACCCAGCCTGGTCTTTTTTTTTTTTTTTAAGGTGAAGGTTTTTTTTTTAAGGTGAAATTTCCATGATCCCTGATGTCTGTTCATGGTGGAGAGCAAGACACTAATGCCCAACTAGAGGCTCTGGGGACTCTTGTCATCACAAGTGTCACCTCACTGCAGGAAGACACAGCGGCAAGCAGGTCCTGTTCATGGGAGAATTACAAATAGCATCATCTGAAGGTCATTTCTCTAGGGCCATTCAAGTTTCTCCAAAAAGAGCCTCCAACCTTGCTGCTGAGAACAATACAAGCTGGCTGTGGGTGCTCAGGAGACAGAGCTGGCGGTTCATGCTCCCCTTGCAAAGTGCTCCTTCCCTGCAGAGGCAGCCACACTCAGTCTCCTGCTTTCATCTTCTAAGACTGTGGAATCTGCCCACTTCTCTCTCACGCTATTTGTCCCGGTCGTTTTATCTTCCTATCTTAAAAAAATTTTTTAAACTTTTTTTAATCAGGAAAAAGGTAGATAAACATGTATGATCAATTTTCCAAATGAAACCATAAGTGTGTGAGACAATTTTGAAAAGAACGGTTGGGGAGTGCATTACAACTGCCCTGGTGGCCTGCTGCTCCTCCCACAGCCCTGTCCACGGGCATCCTGGAAACCTGACTGTAGAAGGGGCTCACGGTTACACAGCAGCTGCCTCACAAAACACTCACTCACTCACTTCTAAGAAGCTAACCTGGATTTAAGAATAAATGAGAGATTAGGCCAGATGTGGTGGCTCATGCCTGTAATCTCAAATAAAAAGATAATTTCAAAAGCAAAGAAATTATACAATGCAACCTTAGAACCATTTGAAAATCCTTCTCTATTAGAAAAAGCTGGCATTCTTGATAAATACAGTTTTAGAGCACTTTTACCTTCTTCAGGTCTGCTGACAGCGGCGACGAGTCAATGGTTAAGCAGGGCTCAATCTTGTTTCGGAGCACTGCCACAGGAGGCTGCAGGCCCTTCAGCTTCTGCAACTGAGAGAACGTGTGCATTAGACAACCAGGGTCTGCCCTGAGGCGTCAGCAACCTCATGGAAATGAAGAAAATACAGATTTCAATGTAAACACCTGGGTATATATGCTTACTTAAACAAACAAACAAACAAAAAACCAAAAACCACCACTACTAAAAGAAAGACTGTTTATTATGCAAAAAACAAGGAACAATTTCTCAGAAGCAACAATCCATTCGATTGTTTCTAAAAGGATGTCTTCAGGTAAAGTCCCCCATCTAAGGAGCTTCCCTTCTAATCTCAGTTCTGGAGGGAGGAAGGAGAAGGATTTAAACAATAAACAGTTTTTTCTCTCTTTTTATTTTACTTTTTTAAGGGCCTGTAATACCTGCTGGAGATCAGAGATTCCGTCAGCTCTCAAAGGATCAGGATTTAAAAACTGCAGTAATCTGTAAGATAGTTAAAAGAAGAATGTGAAGAAAAAGGTATTTGTTTCCTCAGTTGAGCTATTCTTTTAGTTCTTCCTTGATAAGAGATAGCAGGGACTGCACAGCCCAAGCTCAGCTGTACAACCGCTGCCTGTTCTGTTCTGCTTGGTTTATGAGGCACGAGGGCCTGTACCTGTGCTGCCACAACCTTGCCACCCAGGTCCCCGTGAGAGTATCTGAGGGGCCCCAGCCGAGCTCAGGAGCCACTAGTGTACTTTACTATCTTTATTTTATGGATCAGAAAACAAGACCAGATAGGACTTGTCCACAATCACCTCTGCTGAGAGGAGAAGAAATATGAAATTGCTTTCCTCTAAATCCAGCCCAACCCCAATGTGGGTAAGGTCAGTGGCAGTCACAGAGAAGTCACAAGCCACAGATGTCCGGGGACTCCAGGATAAAGATGGTGGGTTACACATATGGCAAACTGCACTTCTTCCTAAAGCCCCATTCCTGTAAATTATTTTTCTTTTCTTTTCTTTTCTTTTTTGAGATGGAGTTTCACTCTTGTTACTCAGGCTGGAGTACAGTGGCACAATCTCAGCTCACTGCAACCTCTGCCTCCCAGGTTCAAGAGATTCTCCTGCCTCAGCCTCCTGAGTAGCTAGGATTACAGGCGTCCACCACCACACCCAGCTAATTTCTGTATTTTTAGTAGAGACAGGGTTTCCCCATGTTGGCCAGGCTAGTCTTGAACTCCTGACCTCAGGTGACCCGCCTGCCTTGGCTTCCCAAAGTGTTGGGATTACAGGTGTGAGCCACTGCGCCTGGCCCTATAAATGGACTTTTAAATGCAAAAGCCACAAGACCCAACTGTCGTCAGCTGATGAATGGGTACATGAAATATATTCCACGCACGCAATGGAATATAAGTCGGCCATGAAAAGGCATGCTGTGCTCATTTATGATATGGCAGAGGTGAGCCTTGGAAACACTGTGTGCAGTGAAACCAGTGTCACCAAGGCCCACACACCATATGATCCCATCCATATGAAATGTCCTGAACAGGCAAACCCATAGAGACTGAAAGCAGACTGCTGGCTGCCAAAGGATGTGGAGGGAGGAAAATGGAGAGTGATCGCTAATGGATATGGACTTGTGTGGTTGCAAACTCTGTGAATACGCTAAAAATCACTGAATTGTACACTTGAAAAAAGGGTACATGAATCATATCTCAAAAAAGCTATGTTTTAGAGACAATATTCCAGAACAGAATGTTAGAAGCTAAAAAACAGATGGACAAACTGGTAACAGCCCCAAGACAGTTGAATCTGAGTCAGCCACGGGAGGCCTGACCCTATCTGCAGAGAACAACCTTCAGAAAGCTGAGGAATTAGGGGCAGGCTCCCTGGCTGCAGCAGTGTGGCAGAGCGGGAAGCCTCTGCATCACCTTACACTGCTCCACACCAGACTGCCACTCACTCCAAACCCTAGGAAGCCCAGGGGCTGATTCTCTGGAGAGGATAAAGCAGAGCTTTCAGGACTGAGGGCTGTAGGCCTAGCTGCAAACCAAGGTACTGAACTGAAAAGAGGGAGGCCAAGCACACACAGGACAGTGAGACCCAGCCTGTGCCTTCCATGCCTTCCACTGAACTCCCAGGACACAGGCAGGTCTTTAGCCCCGGGGGCCAGAGACAGGAGAAGCCTTCCCTTGGGCATCTGGACGGAATTCAGAGGTCCCTGCACTCACAGCAGCTCGCTCCCCTGTGAGACCCACAGCCCACAGGCTTGGTACACTCAGAGACCCTCACCAGCTCACTGGGCCTCTACGTTGAAATACGGGCAGACAATCGAGGACCGCATGACGTCTAAGGAAAGCCTCCAACCTTAAAAACCGAGTAATGCACCCTGCAAGAAAAAGAAACAGTGTAGGGAGAAGAAAACTCCCCCACCAAAATCATTAGTCTCCTTAGAGAAATGAGAGAAATTATCATATATGTGAAACAAGGACAGGACATGATTAGAAAGAGAAAAGAGAACAAAAGGTAAATCCTTGCAAATTAAAAACGTGATATTAGAAATAAAAAACTCAATAAAATGAGTAGAGGACAAAATTGTAAAAACATTCCAAAAAGTAAAGCAGGCTGGGTGCAGTGGCTCACACCTATAATCCCAGCCTTTTGGGAGGCCGAGGGAGATCACTTGAGGTCAGGAGTTTGAGACCAGCCTGGCCAATATAATGAAACCCTGTCTCTACTCAAAACATAAAAATTAGTCGGGTGTGGTGGTGGACACTTATAATCCCCGACTGAGGCAGGAGAATCACTTGAACTCAGGAGACAGAAGTTGCAGTGAGCTGACATCGCACCACTGCACGCCAGCCTGGGCAACAGTGCGAGACTCCGTTTCAAAGAAAAAAAACAGGAAAAAAAAGTAAAGCAAAAAGACAAAGAGATTTAAAAAAGAGCAGGCACTTCCAAGATGGCCAAATAGGAACAGCTCCAGTCTATAGCTCTCAGTGAGATCGATGCAGAAGATGGGTGATTTCTGCATTTCCAACGGAGGTACCTGGTTCATCTCACTGGGACTGGTTGGACAGTGGGTGCAGCCCATGGAGGGCGAGCCAAAGCAGGGTGGGGTGTCACCCCACCCGGGAAGCACAAGGGGTTGGGGAATTTCCCTTTCCTAGCCAAGGGAAGCCATGAGTGACTATACCTGGAGGAGCAGTACACTCCTGCCCAAATACTGTGCTTTTCCCACAATCTTCACAACCGACAGACAAGGAGATTCCCTCCTGTGCCTGGAGCCGTGGGTCCCACGCCCATGGAGCCTTGCTCGCTGCTGGCGCAGCAGTCTGCAATCGACCTGGGACGAGTGAACTTGGTCGGGGGAGGGGCATCCACCATTGCTGAGGCTGAGTAGGCAGTTCTGTGCTCACAGTGTAGACAAAGCAGCAGGGAAGCTCGAACTGGGCGGAACCCACCACAGCTCAGCAAGGCCTACTGCCTCTCTAGATTCCACCTCTGGGGGCAGGGCATATCTGACCCAAAGGCAGCAGACAGCTTCTCCAGACTTAAACGTCCCTGCCTAACAGCTTCAAAGACAGCAGTGGTTCTCCCAGCACAGCACTTGAGCTCTGATAATGGACAGACTGACTCCTCAACTGGGTCCCTGACCCATGTGTAGCCTGACTGGGAGACATCTCCCAGTAGGGACCAACAGACACTTCATACACGTGGGTGTCCCTCTGGGATGAAGCTTCCAGAGGAAGGATCAGGCAGCAATATTTGCTGTTCTGCAGCCTCTGCTGGTGATACCCAGGCAAACAGGGTATGGGGTGGACCTCCAGCAAACTCCAACGGACCTGCAGCTGAGGGGCCTGTCTGTTAGAAGGAAAACTAACAAACAGAAAGCAATAGCATCAGCATCAACAAAAAGGACATCTACGCCAAAACCTTATCCATAGCTCACCAACATCAAAGACCAAAGGAGGATAAAACCACAAAGATGGGGAGAAACAAGAGCAGAAAGGCTGAAAATTCCAAAAACCAGAACGCCTCTTCTCCTCCAAAGGAACACAACTTGTCGCATGCAAGGGAACAAAACTGGACAGAGAATGAGTTTGATGAGCTGACAGAAGCAAGCTTCAGAAGGTCGGTAATAATAAACTTCTCCGAGCTAAATAAGCATGTTCTAACCTATCGTAAGGAAGCTAAAAGCCTTGAAAAAAGCTTAGACTAATGGCTAACTAGAATAACCAATGTAGAGAAGAGCTTAAATGACCTGATGGAGCTGAAAACCACAATACAACAACTTCGTGATGCATGCACAAGCTTCAATAGCCAATTTGATCACGTGGAAGAAAGTAAAAATTAATGAAATAAAGTGAGAAGACAAGATTAGAGAAAAAAAGAGTAAAAAGAAACAAACAAAGCCTCCAAGAAATATGGGACTATGTGAAAAGACCAAATCTACATTTGATTGGTATACCTGAAAGTGACGGGGAGAATGGCACCAAGGTGGAAAACACTTTTCGGGATATTATCCAGGAGAACTTCCCCAAACTAGCAAGGCAGGCCACCATTCAAATCCAGGAAATACAGAGAACACCACAAAGACACTCTTTGAGAAGAGCAACCCCAAGACACATAATTGTCAGATTCACCAAGGTTGAAATGAAGGAAACAATGTTAACGGCAGCCAGAGAGAAAGGTCAGGTTACCCACAAAGGGAAGCCCATCAGACTACCAGTGGATCTCTCTGCAGAAATCCTATAAGCCAGAAGAGAGTGGGGGCCAATATTCGACATTCCTAAAGAAAAGAATTTTCAACCCAGAATTTCATATCCAGTCAAATTAAGCTTCATAAGTGAAGGAGAAATAAAATCCTTTACAGACAAGCAAATGCTGAGAGATTTTGTCACCACCAGGCCTGCCTTACAAGAGCTCCTGAAGGAAGCACTAAACATGGAAAGGAACAACCGGTACCAGCCACTGCAAAAACATGCCAAATTGTAAAGACCATCGATGCTAGGAAGAAACTGCATCAACTAATGGGCAAAATAACCAGCTAACATCATAATGACAGGATCAAATTCACACATAACAATATTAACCTTAAATGTAAATAGGCTAAATGCCCCAATTAAAAGACACAGACTGGCAAATTGGATAGAGAGTCAAGGACCCATCAGTGTGCTGTATTCAGGAGACCCATCTCACGTGCAGAGACACACATAGGCCCAAAACAAAGGCGGGTGGAAGATCTACCAAGTAAATGGAAAGCAAAAAAATAAAAAAATAAAAAAGTAGGAGTTGCAATCCTGCTCTCTGATAAACAGACTTGAAACCAACAAAGATCAAAAGAGACAAAGAAGGCCATTACATAATAGTAAAGGGATCATTCACAGAGAGGCTAACATCTAATACATATGCCACCCGGGAATACAGGAGCACCCCACTTCTAAGCAAGTTCTTAGGCCCTACAAGAGCTTAACTCCTACCACAATAATTAATGGGAGT